ATTTCAAATGGCAGGCGTTTTGATAGCTATCATTTGCCATCATTTAGGCAAAGTTCATTAAAGAAGCAGAAAGTCGAGGGGTGGGGAACTCACAGATGCATAAGAGACAGACAGACACAAAGGTAGAGAAAAAGGTAAAGTGAGTACTGTGAAATTGGTGGAGTATGACATGCAGTAGGGTGATGGTAGTTTGAAGTCAGAAGTCAACTGCCGGTTAATAGACTTTTCTGCCGAATGAGTATACGTTGCCCAGGGTGCACTACATGGAGGTAATTCTACCGCACACCCCAACGACTGAATTATAATTATTAACTTAAATAATAATTTATTACATTATTATCCATCGTTTAGTACCATTATTATGATAATCTCTTTTTTAAATTTAACGTATTTTATTTATTATTCTAGATTTTGTTGAGACGAACGGATATTTACAGATTCCACAAATAAATCGGCAAATGAGTGGAACGCTCGCTTGCCAAGCAATAAACGGAGTGGAACCGAGGGCTATCAAAAAAATGCGTCTTGATATTCGCTGTAAATTAACCTCCTACTGCTCATACCTCTATTTATTATCGATTTTGAATGCTAATTTACTTAATCTACTTAATTGTTTATTTATCATCAAAATATGTTGAATGTAATGCTTAAACATTAACAATACCTAAATAGATTTTGTTTGTGTGGTCAGTAATCTTCACTTTAAAAGATTAAATAGCCTACAAAGTTCTAATTATTTCTTGAGGAAAATACCACTTTTGAATACTAGTTTCGATTTTATGGTAGTATCCCAACGGAATAAATGAACAAATTTTAATAGTTAAAGCACCTCCAATTCGGTTAAAACATGTTAAAATTAAGTTTTAACACGAATATTGTGCATTCATGCCTATTCGGAAGTGGACTTAACGGCGCATAATTTGAAAATCTGATTGCCATGCAAAAATTGGATAATTGAGATGAAAACGATTCGAAAAAAGTTACCAATCAAGTGTACTTTTGTAGAACAGAGACGGGGGTATAAACCTTGCAGTGTCCGAAGGATCATAATAATTCTACTTCTCCTATTCAATAATGTTTGTTCAGACATCCATTCTTATTTTAGTTCCACCAGAAGTTCACGTTGTGAATTCGTTAATCAAGCAGTCGCTGAGAGGTGACACAGTTCTTCAATGCCAAGTCAATGCCAATCCAATGGGCAAAATCTTGTGGGTATTTGGGAAATCGAAATCGCCTATCAACGCTACATCATGCAGCATTCCCACTAACATGAATGTCAAGTACTGTATTGGTGGGTTTTAGCCTCATGACAATTTTTTTTCGTGAAAGAGTTGAAATTTCTTTTCAAATTATTATTATTTCGTTACTGTTAACCCCCCCCCCCCTCCCTCACCTCCTCCCCAGACCCTGATTTAAAATTGAACAGCACATGTCCCATTTTTGGCGTCTAAGTTCGCATATTTTTATGCTGCTCTTGTGACAGATTTGATCGTACTTAAAACGGTATTTAGAAATTTTGAAAGAACACAGATTATCTGAATCCCCTATAAAATCTTCATCAATATTTATATTCTACTGTTCCGCTTTAGTAACGTCACCCTAACAAATAATAAAATAATTTTGGCACTTTTTTACGCAATAAGGTGTATTTCCAATATAAAATATCTTTCTTCAGTTGAAACCCAATTGAAGCATGAGGAACGGTGGCCATCGGTAATATCAAAGCTGAATATCCTCAAGCTCACAGAAGACGATTTTGGCGAATATACTTGCACAGTGGACACCATGATGGGAACACACTCGGCGAGTACAATTCTCGAACGTAAGTTCCCTTCACTCTCAATTGTATTAACTTGGGGGGTCGGTAAAATCTACTTGGCGTCAAATAACGTCGAGCTTGCAAAATGTATCGTTGATAGTGAACTGAAAGGATGACTAGTGTTTCAGCTGCAAACTTTTTGAAAGCAACAACTCAGTTACTCCTAACGTATTCGATATCGTTCATGCCATGGAAAATTTTGATCCATTTTTATTAATTGACCAGTTGCTACATATCTTTGCCATCACCAATTTCACTCGTAAAAAACAGTGAAAATGTATCCGCGAAACTGTTTTTTTTTCCAATTTAACCCATTTTCCCCGTTATAGGATATGTTTCAGAAACGGAGCAGTCGATGCGTTTTTTTAATGACCGTAAGTTATGATTAATTTCGTATTGTATTTTATATAGCTTCATATTAGTATCGAGTATTTGAGCAAATATGGTATAATTTGGATAGATTTTGAATAGTATGAAAGTATATTTATTTATATCAAATGGCGTGCGTTTTGATAGTTATCATTAGCCCTTTAGTTGACTTCAGGCTTCACAGAGGGGAGGAAGAACATCAAAAAGGAAAAAAAGTCGAGAGGGGGGGGGAGAGAAAAGAAGAGTGTTTCAAAGATGTACAAGAGACAGACACAAAGGTAGAAAAAAGGTGAGGTGAGTACTGTGGAAGTAGTCGGATATGAAATACAATGGGGTGATGGCAGTTTGAAGTGAGAAGTCACCTGCTGGATAATAAATTTTTAGCTGTATGAGTTTACGTTGCCCAGGGTGCACCACATGGAGGTAAGTCTATCGCACACCCCGTATGAAAGCATATCAGATGGTACACAAAAGCAGACTATTGAAAATTTTGAGGAAAGTACAACTCCGGAGTTCCGGAGCGATTTTCTTCTAAGGAAATGATTTGGAGAATTTCCAATTAAAACAAAACGGATATTGAATTTTGGGTTATCCATGATTAATTCCATATTGATTTTATGTATTGACTCGGCCTATAAATCTCTCAGCTATTCAACAAATTATATATGTTACACACCAAAGTTTTCCTTGGATGTTTTTGACTAAAACTCTTGAAAAGATGTACCCTCAAAAATAAGTATCAGAGTACAATGGGCAGCGTTTTGTATCTCCATATTTCTTGTTCATAGTATTCTACTTTTATTATTTTTGTACATATTTTATATTTTGATAAAGTTGATTGAGCAGAAGGCTTCTGGTGTTCTTGGAGAGTCACCAGTCTGTGGACTTGGAGTTACAAAATTAGAGGTCATCAAAATAGCTAATGAATTAAGGCCAGACCGCAGAAGCGGATATCAATAAATAGTAAATCCAAACAAGTAAAATAAAAAAATTGTTTGGGTCTTCAAAGTGTATTGATTAAATCGTTCTGGGAAATCGAGCAAATAGGTGGATTGGTGGTGGTGGGGTAGGGTGGGGTGGGGTGGGGTGGGGGGGAGGAATAAAGCGCTGAAGCCAACGTGGTGATATGCAATTTGTCTGTCGTGTCAAGATACGTTTATCTATTCTTCTTTTGTCCAAAAACTTTCCAAATTCTTCCGTACCCATATCCTCATGCTCCTCATTGTCCAAATGACTCATATAAAAGGTGGGGGTGGGGGGCGAGGTGTCGCGAAATCAGTATTTTCATAAGGAATGAGGTTTAATAAACAACTTTGAAAGTGCATTGAGACCCATCCTTTAAATTTTATCTTGCAAAATGCAAAATTCTTAAAAATGAATAAGATAGATTGGCGTACCATGAAGTACGTAAATTAAAGTACACCCGTATTTTCGGCTTTGCCAAAACTGGTTGTAAACGTGTTTGAGAACTTCGGTGTCAAGTATTGCCAAACAAATTCGATACATTTTGTAAAGTACTTTCTAAATTAAGAAACTACTCATGTTCACTAAGATATAAGATAAGGAGCAGGGTGGGGCAGGGAGGGTGAGAAGGAATAGGCAGTAAATTCATGACATTAGGACTTCCAATTTATATGAGTTTGGATCATTGAACTGTCCATATTTTTAAAAAGGCAGATGTTAACTTAGTGATATTCCAATTGACATTCGGATTCATTGGTAAGCTTGTGTGCTATTTAGTGACATCTCTACAAAACAAGAATATTTATGAATTTAAAAGGGAATCTCTAAACGTGATATGAAGTGTATTTACAACTTTTCTTGTAGCCTACTTTTATCTGCCCCCATCAACCTCCACGGTAATGCCTTACCTGCAATATCACCCTAACTGGGATCCGACCAAGGAATCTTCCTACTCTCACTTCCGTGGGACAAAGAAGGGTTACTTAGGCAAAGACCTTCGTGAGTTGCTCGGGTTTACAATAGTCCTTGTTCTGCAGTTTAATATTCATAGTTCTCGGCTTTTATATGGAAATTACTAGGAATATTATAACTCGTGAAACCAGCATAAAGGTAGTGACTTAGCTATCACTCATCATTTCTTTAACTTATGACTTGAAAACGCGTTGTAGAAGAGAATGAGGAAGGTTACTTTCTGCGGAGAATACTGTCAGTAAATGTAACTGAAAAAAAATGGATAAATCAAAATGTTTACTATTAAGAAGATAGGAGACACAGAGCACAATAATGTGTTTCAGATATATTTCCTATGGGCGAGACATGCATCTGAATCTTGGATGCTTTGAAACTGTTTTCTTAATTGACATTACTGTCACTTTTATCGCTCATGTAGCGAGAGAGAATTGTTAAAGGTTCTTATTACAAGTAATTATAGTATTTTCGATGTAAAATCATAAACTTAACGCCTCATGCACTGGAGTATCGATTAGTAGATTTCTTCGCTTGCAACTAGTTCTAATGCCGTAACGCTGAGGCAACTATCGTTGTAATCATTGACTAACAGGCATCCAATTCTACATAAACATATTTATTTGTAGTAAATTATACTGTCTAATTAACATTTTTCCCTTCCATTACTAATCTCATAATTTGTGGTGTAATAAAAGTTATATTTTAGTGACATTAAAACAAGTGTGATGTGCACTGTTATGTGGGCTATTAGGACGAGTGCAGTGCCGTGGCAAAATGAAATTCTAGATTACCAGAAAAACGATAAATGCTCGAGTGTTTAATAGTGGTCTAACTTCCCAACTAATGAATATTCATAAATTATAATAACTAAATGTATCCCGATTTAATTTTGCTTTTCATAAACTCAGCTTAATTTAATTCCTTTTAGATATTCAATCAACTTCCAATTCCGCGCATTGTTTGGCACAGTGGAGAATTGTAAATTTGTTCCAAATTCTGATGTTGTGGGCCAGATTTGTTACTATGAATAGCTGAAGGTCAGCTATTTACAACAAAAAATATTCATCAACATTCCCGTATCCTGTGTAAAAATTATAGTCATCCCTGAGTATATTTATTGGATCTAAAATCGACTTGCGATTTTCAAAACAAACTCAAACAAAATTTAATAATAATAACTATGTTACTGATGAATTATTAGTAAATTGCTATTTAATGATTCCTTCGTACGCCTGACAATGTTTTAAAATTCAATGCAAAATTGGTAACAGAAAGGCGTAAAACGCTCGATCAGAATTTTATGCATTAGGTATCAAAATTTTTCGTGAGCTTGAAAGCCTTTAACCCGATATAATCCTACAATCGATAGTTTAACCTTCCACGTGGTGCACCCTGGGCAACGTATGCTCATACGGCAAAAAGTCTATTAACCGGCAGTTGACTTCCGACTTCAAACTATCATCACCCCACTGTATGTCATATTCAACTACTTCCACAGTACTCACCTCACCATTTTTTCTACCTTTTGTCTATCTCTTTTACACCATTGAAACACTCTTCTGTTTNCCCCCCCCCCCCCATCTCGAATTTTTTAATTTTGATTTTCTTTCCCCTCTGTGAAGTTCGAAGTCAGCATAAGGGCTAATGATAACTATCCAAACGCCTGTCATTTGATACAAATATTTTAAACTCAACCTAGTTTCAATCTGGAATGTGTCAAAAGTCGAACGTTGAGCTAAAAATCACCCCCCCCCCCAC